ATAGTTAGTTTAGGCCTACGGTCTGTGTACAATAGGAGAAGATTTCTCCTTACGTTTGGAAAGTATTCACTTATGAATTAGAATGTTATTAAATTGATTTTAGTATAAACCGTTACAGATTAATGACTATTTTAAAGGTATACTTCCTTACAAGTTTTACTCAAAAATTATAAACAATATAAGCTATTGCATGTTTATTATAACATATATGTTTTGACTTTGCTAATAACTAATAATGGATTTAGGTTAATTTATATCACATTACAAACATAGAGAGGAATTCTACACAGCGTTATATCGAATCACTACGTACTTCATTGCACAGAATATAATAATTTCCCAAGAGATAACATTTCTATACAAGAATGGTCACTGGCACTAGACCTCATTTGATTTATTAAAGTTGTTTATAGCTTCCTTGGTATTAGATATCTTTCTTTTTAGATGTTTGAATCAGGTTAAAGCATGTATAAATGCATGAACAATTTATTTTATTTTATATTTTAAATATGCCAATCTCCAATGGCATTTATTAAGGACTAGCATCTATACACGTGCCTTGCAACAGGGTCATTATGCAGAAGATAAATGTTGGTTCTTTGAAAATGCCTTCCTTCAAACTGGTTACACCCCTACCATTTAAACTTGAAACAAAAAATTGTACAGTTTTTTTTTTTTTACTTGATAATAGTACGTTTTGTTAACTCATACACTGAACTTGTGAACACCTATTTATGCTACCTAGGATACAAAATAAATGATAGATTTTAACGTAGGTATAATCAAATAAAATGTTGAGTGGTTTGTACTGTAAACGAAAAGCTATCACAATAGTTCAAAACCTGTAAATAGTGTAATTTCTTAACATATTTGAGTGAAACTATCATCAGACGAACGGAAGTTCATTTAGTCAGCAGGTGTGCTGCGGAAGGCAAATTCTATTACTGTTTACACAAAAATATATTTAACAAATAACTTTCATAAAACTCAGGATAAGATACTACAATCCTGATACGGCTATGATTATATGATCTCAATTATTTACTATATCTATGAATAATTTCTTTTACAATGATTTATTCCCTCTAAAATCTTATTACAGCATTTCACAAATATTAGAACAGACTTGATATAGATCATAAACATAAACAAATGACGTAGCTGAATGAATCCTATACTAATAACATTAACATATGGTTTGACATCTCCATTTAAGTAATGTTAAATAATGTTTACACTCGAGTGAGTGACATCATGTTTTATGTTTATGATCCATACCCTTTCATACACAGTTCCGCTTGTTTACATTTAAAATTTGTGGGTTAGTTCTTCGTTACCATGGAGACCACTTAATATTTACTTTTATAACTGTCACCTCAGAACTTTGAAATCCCGTGGGGCAGAGTCCTTGGTCAACATTGAAGCAGGAATAGTTCTACTGTATATGCATCCTCGGTGTTGTAGCTTTATTGTTGTCCAATTTGAGTCCAGTCGGTTCAGTAGTTTTTAAGTTTATCTCATACAAACACACACACAGACGGACAGACAAACACCTAGACACCTACTCTTCTTTATAATAGTATAGCTAGATAGATTGATAGATAGATAGATAGATAGATAGATAGATAGACATAGATAATCCCATTAAATGAGGGTTTCGAGTCCGCTTTGAATTGTATGTGCTTTATCCAGAAAACTATCTCATCATTTGAAAACATTCAAAAATTAAAGAGCACAGTTCACCAAAAGCCATGCGAAGAATAATAACTTATCTAGTATTTCTCGATATAATGCGAACACTACAAAAGAGCTTTTCGGCAGAAGAATATGGTATGGCGTTTCTATGCATACAAAACAAACCTACATCGATCACTCCGAATAGTATTGTTATAATAGACAATATAAAATGAATGTAAGATAGGATATCAATTGAGTATTTGGTGGCATCTTGAAATTTATATTCGTGCAGTTACCATCAGAAAGAGAAACATATAATACGTTACAAAAACAAGATGCAACTGACAGTTGAGTTTCTTTACATTTTATATAGTATTAAAGAACCTGTGTAAAGATTTGTATGAATATAATTAAATCAATACAATATAATTAACAAAAAAGTTATAAGCAACTGTAAGCTTATGACAAAGTAGGGACGATTTAACCAAGAATATATATCCACACTACTTCATTATTCTAAAAATAAAGTATTTAGAATAGTAATAAATATGTATTGTTTGAAGCGAAAGACCATTCACATTTATAAACTGTATAGAATGAGCAGAAAGATCTATTTCTAGACAATGTAAAAAAGCTTAGTAAAAAAGCAATATTAACTTATTGTATTTATTTTAAATTACCTGTTTCATTCTTTTAGTGAAAAAGATCTTAGATTATTTAATTTGTGATGATAAAATCTAAAATCTAATTAGTTTGATTTCCGTATAAGTGTAGGTTGATACTTGAAAAAATTAAATAAAAATAGCACATAAGAGGTAGATTTGGTATTTTTGCAATGATAACGTTCTTCCATAGAAAATAAATTTGTTTCTTTGTCAATTTACGGAATTTGTTGTTCTAGCATCCGACATTTACTGAAACGTTTATTATTATTATTATAACCAAACGATTGTTTGTGAAATCTAATGATTAAAGTGAATTATCTATGACATGTTATTATTTAAGTATATAAAAAGTTCGACAGATAATTATACATTGTTTGGTAAAATGAAATAAGTTAGCTTATACCTACTTACAAAAGGTAATATATTTTTTATATATTATATATAAATATATTATATATAAATATATTTTTTATTTATTTATATATTTGTTATTGCAAAATAGTGCGCGAAGGTTAATTAGAGAACACGGATATATTTTTCAGCTACAGTGACTATCAAACAAACGTTGACTATCAATACAATCTAATATCAATTTTAGTCTCCAATAGTCAATGGTGCTACTAAGTGTGGCTTTGGACTACTTCATAAAGATTTAGAACCAAACAATGAGGATTTAAAAATTTTTTGTTAGTATTCAATTAATCAATTATTTAAGATGGGGACGCCACTAGGTGTATATCTTAACCCAAATATGAGTGAAGGATGAGTGTGATGATCTTGTTGTATATTACTGTTAATTTATTTTAAATGTTAATACCTTTGATAAGTAATTATTTGTATAGTCATAATTAATGGCTGTATAGTTTATTCGATGCTAAAGAGACATTACAATCTATATATATAATACGCTAAGCCGATTTTTGTAAACAGAACTCCTCCCTCATTTTTAGACCGATTTTAATGATTAAAGTGTCAAAAGAATTGCCCTGATCTGTAGTTTTGCAAAGTGTTCGTACAATTTTAAAATCTTTATTAGCTTGGGCAGGATTTTCCATCAAAGTTGGGTTTTCTTCCATAAGATTAACATGGGGGAATCTAAATATTTAATTGGAAACTTTGTGTCCACTAATTTGAGAGAACGGCTGGGCGTAAAAACTTGGTAGAGGTGTCCAAAGAAAGGTCTTGATCTGTAGATGAGTTATCAAAAGAATAACAAATTTAATTCCCTTAGGGCGCTGCCCCAGAAGCCTTTAAAGATCCCTCCACAGATTTGTTTACATTTTGGCCATGTGGATAATACTTTTTAATGAAACAGCTGTTAATTTTTAAGTTGTATTTTAAACAACATACATTTTTATTGGGAGTTACTGAATTGTCCAAAAGGAGTATCTGCAATGTTATTTTCTGATTTTAAAATTGATTTTCTTCTGTACCATGTCATGTTTTGCAATATAACGTTCCAATACGAAATCAGTGGAAAATCCTTTTATCACAGTAACTCTTAAAATTATTTCTTATTGAACTATCTTATATCTATTGAACGGGTTGTTGTTTTCATTTTTCACCACTTTTGTCTATATTCTTCTAATATATAAAATTCTCGTGTCACAGTGTTTGTCTGCAAACTCCTCCGGAACGACTTCACCGATCGTTATGAAATTTGGTGTGTAAATTCTGTAGGTATGCGAATCGGACGTAAACTATTTCCCGTTTCGAAATTCTTAAAAGGGCTCCGCCCCAGTGGCTCTGGAGTTTCCCATGTTAACCTTATGAGAAATGGAATTAATGAATCTTAACAGCTGTTTCAATTAAACAAGTTGGTTCTGTTCTATGATGTTCAATAGCATTAAAGTTACAAGGATTACCAACAGGGTGCAGCACTATTATTTCTTTTACATTTATGACAACAGCTAATTTGCAACCAAAAGGTGAGTGAGCGTAGCGAACGAACTTCAACCTGGAGGCGAGTTAGCGTAGCGAACGAGCTAACCTGAAGGCAAGTGAGCGCAGCGAACGAGCTCCAACCTAAAGGTGAGTGAGCGTAGCGAACGAGCTCCAACCCAAAGGTGAGTGAGCGTAGCGAACGAACTTCAACCAGGACGTGATTGAGCGATGCGAACGAGATCATTTTGAAAATTAAACGTAACGGTACTTTCTTTCCATCGGTCTGTCTTAGGGGAAACCTATAACTTAGGCGATACGAAGTTCGCCGGGTCAGCTAGTATCTCTACAATATCTAAAACACATTTATAATCATGCGATCCCCAAACAGTCTCGTTTCCATTATCCACGGCTAGCCATGAGATGTCACTTCCATGCATACAAAACAAACTTCTCATCAATCAACATGTCTGAATGCCACTGACATTTTATTTCACTAACAGTTTTATTTGGATCTTTCGTGGAAACATTTACTGTACAAAATTGTCTATAGAAACTATCTATATAACAAATTATTTAGTTTTTCTATGTATTGGTGTTATGCAGTTCAAAACTATTATACTATCGGGGGGCTACCTCTCGTTACTATATGAGACAATACGGGTATTTGGAATGTTTAAATCAGTAATTTGTAGTTGCAATAAAGATCAATGGATGTTAGATTTATTTTAATAAAACCATATAACAACATGAAAACAAAAAGAAACACTACTAAAACTTATAATATTTAAAACCTTGTACTTTAACATTTAACGTCAATCTTTTTTGCTATCAGTTTTCACAAACGAGTTCAGTTTTAAGGACAGTTTTTTCTTATTTGTTCTCGATGCCTTCTCAGGTTCTTGAGTGTCGGTATCTTCCTTATTTGAGTTAAATTTGTTTTTCAACGAAAATCTTCTTTTACTAATATTACTGACTCTCGAATCTCGCTTTGTATATTCTTCATCATTACTTCTTTCTATATTAGGTGTATTATGATCATAATCCTTTTTCTCAATAACAGATTCCTTGGAAGATTCATTCTTCGATAACCTAGAATATTCATTATCATTCGAGATCTGGTTAGACACATGCCCAGCTTCCAACTCATCGTCTAAACCATCGTTAGTCACATGCCCAGCTTCCAACTCATCGTCTAAACCATCTTTAGTCACATGCCCAGCTTCCAACTCATCGTCTAAACCTTCTTTAGTCACATGCCCAGCTTCCAACTCATCGTCTAAACCATCTTTAGTCACATGCCCAGCTTCCAACTCATCGTCTAAACCTTCTTTAGTCACATGCCCAGCTTCCAACTCATCGTCTAAACCATCTTTAGTCACATGCCCAGCTTCCAACTCATCGTCTAAACCTTCTTTAGTCACATGCCCAGCTTCCAACTCATCGCCTAAACCATCTTTAGTCACATGCCCAGCTTCCAGCTCATCGTCTAAACCACCTTTTGTTATGTTTTTGTTCTCTAAATCATCAGGTAAATCTTGTTGAATTGAACTTTTATCATTTGGTTCAAAACTAAACTCGTCATTTGATGACTTATTAAGTGTTAAACTATTTTTACTTTCACGTTTATTATATTTTTCATTCGGAATATTGTCTCCTAAGGTCATTTCCTCCCTTAAATTGTCATCTTTGTCTTCCGATGAATGCCTATGAGAGAGTTTGTCTGAGTTTATGCTTAAACCATTTTCACTTTGTAAACTTTTAACGTCATTCGAAGATAAATTATCATTGGAAGATACATTATCATTTTGAATCAAATTCATTTCATTCACCTTTGGCTTATTTTCACCTTTTGGCTTATTGTCATCTTTTGGATTAATTAAATTGTTTAACGAAATGACTGATACTCGTTGGTCATTTGCGGCTTTTGTCGAGAAGTCATTCGATACACATTCAGGTTGAGTCGGATCTTCAGTTGCATCCGCTGTAGAAGGAATTTTAAAATTTCCTGTAACGCTTCTCCGCTCTTCTTCTCTTCTTACATTTTCTTCTTCTCTTGCGTTATCAAAACTCTTCTTAGTTTGCTCTTTATGATTCTTTGGCCGAATTTCATCTTTGGTGGGATTCATAGATTTATCTTGGCCAGAGACTCTGCTTCTATTTTCACTCTCGTTGCTATTTTGTTTACGATTCTTTAACAGTATATCTTCACATATTCTTTCATTCCTGTGTAGTCTTTTTATACTTCCAATGTCATTTCTTTGCTCATTATTTGAGGCTTGTGAATGTGGGTGAATGAAAATATAATACAAGGCTGGAGAGACAACCAAGACTAAAAATAATATCCATAAGAAGTATAGTAGTCCGACTGACTGAAAAAAAATAGTTGTTAATATTCCATACCATAGTAGCTTTATATATTGAACACTAGTCAAGTGATATTTAGTAAATTTGCTAAGTACACATTTTGTGGTAGTAATACCATTGACAAAGATCTTTTAAGAAAACTATGCACTTTTTAAATAATAATTTATCAATAAGTGAAGAAACCTGAGATAAGAATTATAACTTATAACATCATCAAAGCGACTCCAAGACTGCAAGTCTAAAAAAATCTCGGTTGATATTTTGGAAATCTATATAATGAATAAAACCAATCACCATTGTGTATTTATGGATTACAAGCTGTGACAAGCACTTTTTCTAAAACAGAGTGTTTTGCAGCAATATTTGCATTATCCGATATTTTTATAAATTGCTCACAGCTTATTAAAGTTTCTAGCTGTGTTATATCACATTATATAAAATCCTATGATTATATTCTCATCCATCCTTCAATGTTATATCTAATGTTTAATACCTTCAAATTGTTTAATACGTACTACATGTATACTGAAAAAAAAAACAAAATAAAAAGTTAATTAACAGAGCATGTAGTAAATAAATGACATAATAAAACCAGTTTAATGGTCATACCATCATTATTGATCTGTGCTTGTCAATTTATGTGCAATTTATCAATATTTAGATATGGAACGATCCTGTTTAACATATGCCTAATTACCAATCCAACTGAATATAGAATTGATCATTCTCAAAGTTGATGCAAAAACATTTGAATTTGAAGGTTTTTTTAACGTTTTTTAGCTTTGCTTTGTAGAAGTTCTAAAAACTTAAAGAACGAAACTGGCTAAATAAAAAAAAGATTAAATACGGACAAATTGTGTGATCCCTCGACCTTTTAAACGTATTGGAACACACTACTTAGTAAATTATGTATGTAATAATTAGAATACCTGTCTTTTGTAAATGCCACAGCAAACGCCACCCATACAAAATTCAGCACTTTCTTCAGGAAGTGCCTGTAGCAGTAAAAAAATATGTTTTATGAAACCTGTATATTATGTTATTTTAACTTTTTAAATATAAAATATAAAAAAGGTGTATCATGATAGGGTAATGCAATGATGAATGGAAAGAGATTTATTGACATTGTTTAACATTTAAATAATCTTAAAATATTTATTTTAACTAATTATACCTCAAGCTGGCAAATGAATGTAGTAGGTGATTCCATTAGTATATTGTTTGTCAAATTGCGTTTTATTTTATAATCTAAAATTATTTTAAACCTTCAGTTCTGGCCATTTGTTATGTGCGGATACAGAAATTTAGATTTTGTAAAGCTTATTCATACTTTTAAACCATGGTAACAAGGTAATCTGATATAACGGTCAAAGATAAACATAAACTATTTATTATTCATAGATGTAAACTGAATAATTGCAAGCTTGCTGCTGTTTGAGTCACATTAAAATGAAAACGGAGTTTAATTAATCTTTCATGCAAATCTTTATCAACTGATAGACATAATCTTTCTTATCCCCTTTGGATTTAGATACCTAAGGAAATAACCTTTTAATGGTAATGAACTGGGCTCAGTTCCGCCTAAAGTTGTGTTTATAAATACATGGCCTTGACTGATTTGACTGCTTTTCACTTTTATCGTTAAATAAAAACATATTTTTAACTTCATTAAGACAATTGAAAGTTTATTGGCATTGACTGTGGGAGGTAAACTTCGATATTGTGGACTGTTTGAAAAGGGGATCAATGTATATAGACAAATAGAGTAGGGGAAATACCAATTATACAGTATAATAAACTAGCAGCTATATCCGTGCCTTGAAACGGGGTCAGTATGCAAAAGAGGCAATATTGGTTCTTCGGAATTGCATTAAAAATGGTTTCACTCCAACCATTTAATTTAAAACTAAATTGAACTTGATAATCGTGGGTCCGAACAAAATATGAACGAAGTCTGGATTCATATAGATTGCGTATAAATAATATAAATTCCGAACAGAGACTGTATCAACCAAAATCATATAATAAACTTATTGATACTTAAACTTCTGTTATCTAATGATGATGTCATGTAAAGGTAACTAGAATTCATAGACCAAAATATCTTATCGCTTTTTTTAGTGGACCCAAAGAAAATAGCTTAAATAACGTCCTATTCTCCCAAGTTTCAGCACTTAAATGCCTAATCCTCAATCTCTCTGAATCCGTAAATTATGTTTTAAGTAAAAATGCAAGATGTTTTCCAAATGTATGAAATCTATTATCGATCAGTGTAATTATAATGGGAAATTTAACGAATACAACTATCAGCAGTTCTTAAAATTGTTGCATTATTTTGCATCAATATCACTATCGCTCGACCTTTCTTCATTAATGTTGTCCGTCACCCAACCAAAAGGAGTGATTCTTGTCACCGGCTCTTCAGCAGCTTTTTTATTTTCAGAGTGTTTCTTTTCAGTTGATAATGAAGTTTCTTTACCATCATTTTGTAAGTTTACATCTTCAGAAGCCTTTAAGTTAGATAATTCTCTTGTTTCTGATTTTCTCATCTCAGTTGATTGCATTTTTGCCAACCCTGTCATTGGTTCCTCAGTTTCTCTTCTACTTTGAGTACTTTCTCTTTTAGGAATTGACGAGGTTTTCAATAGGCCATTCTGCAAATTTGTATTCCTGCTAACATTTAGGTTTGACGTATCTGATTTTCTCAAGTCATTTGATTGCGTTTTCGTAATTCTTGCCATTGGTTCTTTAATTTCCCTTATGATTTGAGAACTTTCTTCTTTAGGAATGGATGAGGTTTCCTTTAGATCATTCAGCAATTTTGCATTTTCGCTAACCTCTAAGTTTGACTTTTCCATTGTCTCTGATTTTCTCAAGTCATTTGATTGCGTTTTCGTAATTCTTGCCATTGGTTCTTTAATTTCCCTTATGTTGTGAGAACTTTCTTCTTTAGGAATGGATGAGGTTTCCTTTAGATCATTCAGCAATTTTGCATTTTCGCTAACCTCTAAGTTGAACTTTTCCATTGTCTCTGATTTTCTCAAGTCATTTGATTGCGTTTTCGTAATTCTTGCCATTGGTTCTTTAATTTCCCTTATGTTGTGAGAACTTTCTTCTTTAGGAATGGATGAGGGTTCCTTTAGATCATTCAGCAATTTTGCATTTTCGCTAACCTCTAAGTTTGACTTTTCTATTGTCTCTGATTTTCTTAAGTCAGTAGATTGAGTTTTTGTATTTATTGCCATTGGTTCTCTAATTCCTCTTTCATTTTGAGAATATTTTCTTTTTGGAGCTAACGAGGTTTCTTTGAAATCGTTTTCAATTTTTTCCTCCTTGTTAAGTGGCGTTTCTCTGGATTCTGATATCCTTGAGTTAGTTGGTAGTTTTTTAGACTTCAGTGTCATATTTTTTATGTCACTAAAAGAGTACATATAGTTATCGTTGAAGGGAGACCTGTTGGGCTTTTTTTTAGTAACTTTATCTTCAGATCTTTTTGGTTTTTGTTCATTTGTTGTGAGTGATTCAGACTTCAAAACTTGTTCTTTGTCCTCTTCTTTGATGATTGACGCGGTTTCTTCTGTCTTCATGTCATCTGCATTTACCTCTTCGTGAGAATATTTACCTATCATATTATCTGTTGAGTTTTGCATATCGTTATTATTATTATTACCCTCTTTACTGTCATTCGGTCTATCATTTACGCTGATATCTTGATTCGGTTGTATATTTTTAGTTTCTTTTCCTGGAACACTGCTACCATCACAATTATCTTTACGGACGTTAGATACAAAAAAATTCTTGATTTCTTCTGCTCTTTCCGGTAACAGCAGGATTATCAGCAGAACGGCTGTTATTATTATCAGAACTACCAAAATCATCCAAGACCAAATCGACACATCGTTTTTCTGAAACATACATTCATTCAAAATCTGTAATTAAAGAAAAACAAGCAATTATCAAAACATATTACGAAAGTTTTTTCTTTAGGCATAAGTCATACGATGATTTCACACTATAGTTTAGTTACAGAACAAAAAGGTTCAACCTAGACTAATACGTCATGTAGTCAATATTTATTAACATATTTTAAATCCAATCACAAATATTACACATACGGATAATACAATGTTTAAATGTTTGATAGTATAAATTATGCTTGTGTGATTAAATGGTACTCTTAAACAGAACAAACCAAGTATTGTAAAATACGCACTTTAAAATGTACAATCAGCCTAAAAACCAAAAATTAAGCTATTCTAATACGTAATTTATACGAGGACCACTAAAGTAACTCACCGCCTTAAACATTCCAATGCAGTAATTACTAATACAAATTTCAAATGCTCCATCAAACTTTGGTACTTTCATTTTCAGTTTTCTGCAAAAAAATGATCAAATAGTAATTTAGAGTATTTGTTATTATTTAGCAACACTGATCGAATGGCGGTCGGTAAGGATCAAAACGGACCATCGGACTTCGCCATTGTGTGCTAGGACAGCTAACCCTTATTCCTACGAAACAAAATAAATCTAACAATTCAACCAGACAATTTTTCACGTAAGAACACTTTCCATGGCTTAAAACTAGGCCCAGCTGCTATTGGTCATTGGGAAATAGATCGTCAAAACAAAAGAAACAGCATTCTATTGACCAATAATATAGCTACACAAAAATACATTGAATCAATTGAATTAGGGATGCAAATTAGAAGCTTTTACTTTATGTTACTCTAGCTAGGTGGCGTTACAAGGAATAAAGAAAAGAGGAATGCAAAGATATATTATTATAACATTGCATGTCTCACTATAATGCACTTATGGTCTTGCAGTTTTGCTATTCGAAAACTACTTTTAACTTTTGATTTTATAAAGTAATATGCCCCACTATGGGAATAAAAATTCTGAAATTGCCCATGGTATACGCTAAGAAGTAGTTATTATTGAAAAGTGCATCCATGGTAACGCAAAATTTTCTTATACTTATCAAAGTCTCCAAAGGTTTAATTGAACTGAAAACCCTTCTTCTTACATAGTTGGTTCTGATAATTGTTTAGTTTTGTTTCTGATAGTATCTTACCAAGAAACTTTTGGGTACTTAAGAATTTTCGTTCCGATAGTTCAACGAAAATAATATACAACTAAAACAGTGATATTTAGATTAAATACGTTTTTAAATATTAAAATACATCTTGGGTTTATGAAACTTACAAATTTTGATACTTGACCTTTATATTTCATTTCTATAGAAACAGTATGATAAATTGATGAACCATTGGTCTTTATGAGGGATAGGCAACTTAACACCTAAATAATTAGCACCTTGCACATTGGGTTGAAATAATACGACATTGTAATAAGTAAAAGGTCTTTAAGTCCCTATATAAATTAGGTATTCAGGAAATACATCGTATTGATGATACCATTGAGAATAGTCTTGGAAGAAATTAATAGTTAATCTTTTAAGTGAAAATTTTTCATACGAACGGAACTGAAGGACTCTTACTATTTAAAATCACAAAAAAAAGGTCGTGAGATATTAATATTTCCTCCGGTGAAACTTGTTGTAGTGTCCTTACTTTTATATTCCTAAAAACTTAAATAATTTATAATAAGATCCTTTTCAGTTATACGTATAGCTACTGTATTCTCTACTGCGCTAAAAAAAATAGGTAATGTCAAAATTCGTCAAACTATTTAAAAATATTTTTGGAGCTTTAAACGCAAACAAACTGATCAAACCTTTTATAGTATATAAAATGTTAGTAGATGATTTTGTAACCAATACTTTATTGGACTTCTGATTGTCATTTCAGTTAACGTCTCAACTCGACCATTATATTACCACTATTTTACACAAAACATTAAACTAAACCACATCCGTTTAATATAACTACCTCTTAATATTTATTGGGTTTCATTCCCATGTAAATGTAAATGTGCCACAGGTGTAAATGAGGGTCGAACATTTATTCCGCAAGGACATTAAATGATTAAACCACGTACAGTAAAAACAAATATATATTTCAAGTTTATTGTAATTAAATTTAACAATATTTGGTTGTTCTGAATTTAACCCTAATTAAACTTTCATATATGTAATCACGATTTGACACATCAATAAAACTATGTTATAATTATTTACAGTTATAACACATTTTATTTGCATTTGTATACTAATAATAAGTATACTAATAATTGTATACTATAATTTATACATAGGTATAAAAATAATATTTGTAGACTAACGCTAACGTTAAGCTTATATTTGTATTTTTAAGAATTTTACATTTTTAAC